TACTAAAACTAAAGTAAAACTGTTTTGGCATTTTGTGGCCTAGCAGTAAAATTTAGATATTGATCGCACAGTAATAGAGGTAAGGTATTTGTGGCATACTAGTAGAGTCATGGTATAGGCGATATAGTTGTAGAAGTAAGGTATTTGTTACATAGCAGTAGAGTTTAAATGTTGGTGTCATAGCAGTATAGTTTAGGTAGTAGTAGAGGGAAGGTATTTGTTACATAGCAGTAGAGTTTAAATGTTGGTGTCATAGCAGTATAGTTTAGGTAGTAGTAGAGGGAAGGTATTTGTTACATAGCAGTAGAGTTTAAATGTTGGTGTCATAGCAGTATAGTTTAGGTAGTAGTAGAGGGAAGGTATTTGTTACATAACAGTAGAGTTTCAATGTTGGTGTCATAGCAGTATAGTTTAGAGGTAGTAGTAGAGGTAAGGTATTTGTTACATAGCAGTAGAGTTTAAATGTTGGTGTCATAGCAGTATAGTTTAGGTAGTAGTAGAGGGAAGGTATTTGTTACATAGCAGTAGAGTTTAAATGTTGGTGTCATAGCAGTATAGTTTAGGTAGTAGTAGAGGGAAGGTATTTGTTACATAGCAGTAGAGTTTAAATGTTGGTGTCATAGCAGTATAGTTTAGGTAGTAGTAGAGGGAAGGTATTTGTTACATAACAGTAGAGTTTCAATGTTGGTGTCATAGCAGTATAGTTTAGAGGTAGTAGTAGAGGTAAGGTATTTGTTACATAGCAGTAGAGTTTCAATGTTGGTGTCATAGCAGTATAGTTTAGGTAGTAGTAGAGGGAAGGTATTTGTTACATAGCAGTAGAGTTTCAATGTTGGTGTCATAGCAGTATAGTTTAGAGGTAGTAGTAGAGGGAAGGTATTTGTTGCGTAGCACGAGAGTTCCGGCATTTATGGCTTAGTAGAAGAGTTTTGGCATTTGTGGCTTGAGCAGGAAGTGTTCAGTTTCAGTTTGGTAATAAGTCTTATGACTCTCGCAACTGTATAAGGTCATATGAGTGCAAGCAGGTAAGTGCATTTTTCCTGAAGAAACCCAGTAGGCATCCATGATGCTTGTTGCGGAACATAGTACTACACCACAAATTAAAACGACATTATAAAATGATAAGCGATAACTCGCACCGTGGTTGTTGAGTATTTAATTTAGATAAATGTAGTACATGGTATATTTCCTACAGTGAGTCGACCAAGGCTCTGTCCCCTACTCTCTGTCGTCCGATTGTCCCACTGAAAGCCGTGATTGACTAATTATATACACTTCTCGTGAACTTTTCTACGTGGGATCCCCTCACCGCACGAGATCTCTGTGTTCCTCCGCACGAGAACCCGCGCCCGAGCAAATCGCGTTACTTGTGTCCACAACAATGCTAATGAATCTATCAGTCACAACAGGATGGCTGGGCACTGGAGAGTTAGAAAGAACTGAATTGAAAAAATTGGAATCTTTCAAGGAGCGATAAATTTTGTGACGACTTGGATAGTGCCATGATGAGCCTTTTTGTCTCGTTCGTATTACACCACCTTGTGTGGTGAATGATTCGAGATATTGTTCTGAGCACTCCTTTTGTATTTTTTTTTTTTATGTTGTAGCTGGTTGGAGGAAGCCACTAGTGGGTCCCATTTCTTTTTATTTCCCCTCTGTTGTTTCTTCTTGTCTTATTTTTATTTTTTTTAATAATATTTTTTTATGAGCACTAAATGAGCATGATGATAATCTCAGTGTGCTCCATATTGGTGTCCTTCTCATTAATCTAACCATCTGTCTTACTCTTTTTCTGAAATAAATAATCATTATTTTTTCGGGCATCAGTGTGCTTCTCTTTACTTTAACCCAAAACACCCGTTATCATGTCGTTGTGCCTCTCTTGTTCAACTGACTGGAACAGTGGCTGAATGGATGGGCAATGGGCAAAACTAGAAGTACTGTATTTGCACACATGACAGCTCCCAACTCAAAAGATGCTCTAAATTCCCTGAGTAGAAGAGAACAAGTCAGTGTGCCCATCTTTCGCCTGCGAACACAACACATACCACTGAATTCCTACCTAAATAAGATCCACAAGGATACCCCACCTGACTACCCGTTGTGTGACTGCCAGGATGAAACAGTATCACGCCACCTCTTTACCTGCCCTGATCTGATCGTATTAACGTTGTAACATTATGTATCCCTTTGCAACCTGGGTGGTACCTACATGCCTACGTACCTACCTACCTACCTACCTACCTACCTACCTACCTACCTACCTACCTACCTACATACCTACCTACCTACATACCTACCTACCTACATACCTACCTACCTACATACCTACCTACCTACCTACATACCTACATACCTACCTACCTACCTACCTACATACCTACCTACCTACATACCTACCTACATACCTACATACCTACCTACATACCTACGTACCTACGTACCTACATACCTACCTACCTACATACCTACCTACCTACATACCTACCTACCTACATACCTACATACCTACCTACCTACATACCTACATACCTACATACCTACATACCTACCTGCCTACATACCTACATACCTACCTACCTACATACCTACATACCTACATACCTACATACCTACCTGCCTACATACCTACATACCTACATACCTACATACCTACCTACCTACATACCTACATACCTACATACCTACCTGCCTACATACCTACATACCTACATACCTACATACCTACGTACCTACATACCTACATACCTATATACCTACGTACCTACGTACCTACATACCTACCTACCTACATACCTACCTACCTACATACCTACCTACCTGCCTCCCCAGACATGGGAAACACTCCATACAATGACAAAACACTACCGATAAAAACCTGTAAATTCTTTGCCATATTGACCGGCCGAGGAGCTAGAACTCAAATGGCTGCTGGATTGGAAAATGTAAGTTAAAGTAAAGGACAACGACCCCCCGGGGCAGGGCCACTGACTGTAGTGTCTTTAGGCCATTCCCATAGGGGGGACATTTCTCGTTCAAGCACAGTAGAATATTTTCAAAGGGGGGACATTTCTCGTTCCAGCACAGTAGAATTGTAAATGGGCTGATTCATGTCACGCTCATAACTGTGCCTGATCTACAACAGGGAACTGCTGCTTTTTCTTTCCTGATCCTTACTATTGCCTCTACTTCTTTCGTATGTTTGTCACTCTCTTGTGACCTGCTATTTCCGGGGTGCCTTGATAGTCGAAGCAGACCTTGTGGTGTTGAAGCTATAGAGGTGAGCAGTCGAAGTCTGATTCCCTGTAAAGACTTCTCTGTTGACACCCACCCCTTGGCGCTCATATGACCTTATGCTGTTGCGAGCGTGGGTGGTTGGCGGGTGCTCTGGTGTGGTTTGCTTCTTCTTTCCTATCAAATGTCTATCGTCCTTATCTCCCCCTCTTCTTTTTTATGTTTGTTACTCTCTTGTAACACCTCTAAATCTAATCTTCTTGCGCTCATATGACCTTATGCAGTTGCAAGCGCCGTAAAACCTCTACTAAAATGAAACGCTGTTGCGAGCGCCGTTAAACCCTCTACTATAAAAAAATATAAAAAGTTCAACAGGCCACTGACCAACCTGTCATATTTCTTTCTCTAGTGGTGAATGGCTCCCCCGGGTTCATCAACCTCTGCGACGCTCTCAACGCCTTCCAGCTGGTAAGTGAGCTGCGACGAGCCCTGGACATTCCCGCAGCCACGTCCTTCAAACACGTGTCCCCTGCTGGTGAGTTGTGTGTTGTGTCGTGTGTCTGTCTGTCTGTTTGTCTGTCTCTGTCTGTCTGTCTGCGAGTGGTTGGCGGGTGCTCTGGTGTTGTTTGCTTCTTCTTTCCTATCAAACATCTATTGTCCTTATCTCTCCTTCTTCTTTTTTGTGTTTGTTACTCTCTTGTAACACATCTATTCTTCAGCACTTACATGACCTTATTGTGTTGCAAGTGTCGTAAACTCTTACTAAAACTAAAACGTTATCCCTCACAGGTGCCGCTGTGGGTGTGCCCCTGTCCCCTGAACAAGCCAAACTGTGCATGGTGGATGACCTGCAGGAGTTGTCTCCCTTGGCTATCGCCTACGCCAGAGCAAGAGGTTTGGATTTGATTTTGAATATTATTTGTTTTTTGGGGGGGAAAACTTTTTTTTTTCTCCAAATGAGGGAAAATAGGTTCTATCAAATGTGTGTGGCTCTGAGAAAACCCTTCACAAGGTGCAAAATTTCAAAATGAACTTTTTTGCATATTTTAAAAGACAC